ACCATATCAACCAACACTGGCAAAAGCGGCTAAAGGAAAAGCCACTAAGAGGCTTAAACGGCAACCCTAGGAGATGTGGGATGTAAGGTGGCACCGAGACGTTAGCAAGAGGGATGAGCAAAGCGGAATAAGGAAAAAGTGTATGAAAAGGAGAGAAAAAATGTAAACTATTTAGCGCTTTAACGCTTTCGAGAAAAGTCGCATATTTTTACATATGCCAGAAACCCGAATGAAATAAGCGAGGTCCTATCTCTAATGAAAGCCATAAACATTGGCAGCAGTCTTCCAGCTGGAAATTCTCACGTGGCGGCCATCTCTAATGAAATCCATCTAACGGTTAGCATTTCTCCATATTTTCCAGCTTAACCCTACATCAAAAGATGACCTAGCTTTTTCCTGATCCGCTCCAACTCTAACGAAATCTACGTATTTAACGATAGAAGTTCTGCTCTCTCTATCTGTTACCTAGTCTCCTTTCTCTACGCCATGACTTTCCTTATCGCACTCATGTGACTCGCATTCTCTTTGTCGTTTCGGTTCTGCAACCCCCCCCCCCAGTCATTTCGTTTTGGCTCTCTAGTGGGTGCTCTTTTTCTTTTGAATCATTCGCATTATCAGTTTTTCCGTTTCGTTGAACAGACGGGCACAATCGTGGCGGTCATGACGTCATCAGATTCTGACTCATCAGAGAGTGCCAGTGCAAATGGGCGGGGGAGAGCAATAGAGCTCTGTTAAGTGATCGTAACAGAGAGATGCGATGCTGCCTGCTATATTTTCTCTCTCTGTTGGGGTTATGTAAAAACAGACCAGAACGAACGAACCCCCCTTTGGTGGAAATGGAACTTCTGCTAATGCGACTGCTACTGCTGCTGGCACTGGGCGCACTGGGGCACTGTTATTGTCGTTTGCATTTTTTGTCAGAGAAGCAATGAAAATCAATTAAAATTAATTGATTCAAAAGTCAAATTCAAATGGTCAAAGCAGAGGGAGAGACCTTTACGGCAATTTGTTTTTGGGTCTGCTTTTAGTATGCCTGTCGTTGCAATTTAAGCAGCGAACAATGTGCAATAATTAGAAAATACAATCATTTATTATACATATGTGGCGCTCTCCCCGCTCGGACACACACACACACGCATACATAATAATAAATTAAAAAATAGGGAATCAGGAATGGGGATAGGGGGATATTGGGATACATTGTCGTAGGAATCGATCAAAGAACGGTACTTACTTTCCAGCAGCCTCTGGATGAGACTATCCACATTCAGATCGAAATCGCCCATTATGACAGCCGCTTCGTTTTTCTTTGGCCACCGCTCAGATGTTTTACTTTTCGTCTAGAAAACGCTGCTAGACCCGGTTCAGATGGTCTTTTTGGGCTAAAATTTTCTTGGCCGCCTGTTTCTTGTTTTTTCGTGGGGCCAGCTGTTCTTCTTAGCAGGCGGTATTCCAATTGGAACGTTTTGTTTTTGTTGTTGGGTTTTTGGTTGGAACGCAACAGCATACGCACACAACCGCACCTACAAACGGACACACACACGCACGGGTGCCGTGTTAACAACAATCTTCATTTGCTGCAGCGTGTGGAGTGTGTGTGCTTGTACTTAATTCTTTTCTTATTTTTTGTTGGTTTCCGCAAAAGGCAATTTCACTTTTTGTTTTGTTCTTGCGGCCGCTTCTTGCTGTCGTTGTTGCTGTTGCTACGTTGCGCGGCGTGGCGAAGGTAGGTGGTGCGGGGCGCGGGGGGTGTCACTGATTTTCACAGACAAACAGAAAAAAAATTGCACACTCGTACGCGAACGAGGTCCATTCACTTTTATATATAGTGGCACGATAAAACAATATTACACTTCCAATTTAATTTTTGTGATAGGCAAGCAGTGTGCCCGGAGGTTTATCAATAAAACATACCGTCTGACCCTCAGAAAGATACCGAAATATATATTCTCCTTTTCCAAATATTCCATAAATATACCGAGTAAGATAATATTCCTCAATGTTTATTTTCGATTAATATTACAATCTAATTAAGACTCCCAGCGATAAACATATATTTGTATCCGGTTGATTGATTATAATTCAAGACGAGTAGCTTATTTTAATTCTGTCAATAACGGCTTTTGATTAATTTTAGTGTTAGTCTAACACTAAACAATCTCTCTGTTCTCCCTTGCCTAAACAAACAAAAAGAAAGAGTTTTAAAAATACTTTTCCAAACAAATTTTTTGTCAAGCTTTTAAAAACATGATTTTTTAATTTCCCACTAGAAAGTTTCTGAGAAGAAGGCGCCGCGTACTATCCACCCCACCTGCAAACATTCCATGATTCTCACATTTGCGTTTAAAATATAAGCTGAAGAATACCACAGAAATATACCAAAATACCTTCCAGTAAATGAAAGAGCTAAAAGATTTTGTTTTGAAATTTCATATTCTTGTTCGTTACTATAATGTCAAAAAGCCGTGTTGCTTAAATATACCATTATTTACCATAAATGGTCAACACCACCCGTGTTCGAATGGAGTTCGCATCTCAAGTCTCTCCAGCGCCCTCTATTGGTGATATATTTTGAAAATGCGAACGTATATGAGAAGAAGCGGTCACACTTTGGGGAATATTTTAACTACGAAAACGAGTTCAACGGATATTTTCGGTATTTCGGTTTATACTTTAATGAATTTCATGCGTTTTTAAAATTCCATTTTTAGGGTACTATCAAGAATAACGTACGTGGTTACATTTTAATGAGTTTTTGTGTTGATATTTTTAGTATTAACCTTGATATCCCTGATAGATAAATCCAACAAACTGAAAAGATGTTATATATAATAGCAGGGCTCATTGGAAAACTGCTATTTCTGTTAATTGAATATTATTAATACAATTTACTTATTGTTTAAAAAAACAGATTGTAAACATAAAGAGAGAGAAAAAAAAAAAACCTTGTTTTGTAAGCAATCCAATAAAAAAAATCATGGAAATCTGATTTAAAACTACGGTATATTTTCGGTATATTTTGAAGATGCAAATATTCGTATATATATGGTATATTTCGGTATATTTACGAGGCCCTGACGGTATAATCTAAACAGCTGTTTCTGTAACCGGCTATTAAATTATATGTGGCTTTTCACCGATCGGCTTTGTTTATTCTTGATAAGATTACACTTTCCCAAGATAAGAGCGCCCAGGCCATAGTCCCAGTGGACCGAAAAACGGCACCCACAAGCGCATACGCCTCCGGGACTTGGGGCGCTTGGTGTCCAAAAGGTTTGGCCGTATCGAGAGCTTGTGGAATACGTGGCAATCATGCCGGAAGCGGGCCGCAATTAACGCATTTCAACTGCACACACAACACACTCATTCCTTCCTCTGCCAAGGTAAAATGACGGCAACATTGCGTTATCGTGGCGACAAAAGCAATCTGCTGGACTTTGCCAGGAATCTTGATGCCTTCAAAAAGGTTCCGGAGAAGTACACAGAGACCACCGAAATAGGCGGGACACGTAAGATTGAAGAAGTTGCATTCTTGCTGGCAGAAGCACAGCTCATTGTCGTGTTTTCCCCCTCCACAGTGAGCCTGCTGAGCCGCCTGCTGATTGTGTATCTGGTGTACACGGAGCTGCACTATTACTGGCATGAAACGGACATCGTGTACCAGTTCGAGCCGGACATTTCGCTGGACGAGCAGGTGCAGATGCACGTGGACATCACGGTGGCCATGCCCTGCGTCGCCCTCTCGGGAGTCGACCTCATGGACGAGACGCAGCAGGATGTATTCGCGTACGGCACGTTGCAGCGCGAGGGCGTCTGGTGGAAGATGTCGGACCAGGATCGCCAGCACTTTCAGTCCATTCAGATGACGAACCATTATCTGCGCGAGGAGTTCCATTCGGTGGCCGATGTGCTCTTCAAGGACATCATGCGCGATCCATATCCCATGAAGGGTGACCCTACCGCAGTCTCGGCCCTTGCCCCCGTGGCTCCGCCTCCAGGTGCTCTGCCCGCCAGCCTAGAGCTGCATCTGCCCAATGGCCAGCCGGAGACAAAGTTTGATGCCTGCCGACTGCACGGCACTCTGGGCATCAACAAGGTGGCCGGCGTTCTGCATTTAGTCGGCGGCGCCCAGCCCGTCGTAGGGCTGTTCGAGGACCACTGGGTGATCGAGCTGCGCCGCATGCCGGCCAACTTCACGCACCGCATCAATCGGCTCAGCTTTGGGCAGTACTCGCGGCGCATTGTGCAGCCGCTGGAGGGGGACGAGAGCATCATTCACGAGGAGGCCACCACAGTGCAATACTTTCTCAAGGTGGTGCCCACGGAGATCCATCAGACGTTCACCACAATCAATACCTTTCAATATGCCGTTACCGAGAACGTACGGAAGTTAGGTGAGCCCGAAACTAAGAGTTCCCCCTCCTTGATTCCTCGTCTACTGATTTCGTTATCCTTTTAGACTCGGAGCGGAACTCGTATGGCTCGCCGGGCATTTACATCAAGTACGACTGGTCAGCGCTAAAGATAGTCGTGAGCAATGATCGCGACCATCTTGTAAACTTTGCCATTCGCCTTTGTTCGATTATATCGGGTATCATTGTCATCTCGGGCTCCATTAACGCCCTGTTGCTCTGCCTGCAACGTTGCCTGCTGCGCTCCTTTGCCCCGAATCTCTACCAGCGCCTGGGCAAGCCGCCGTCCAGTGCAGCGGTGGCCCCAGTGCTGCCTGCGGCCTGTTCCCCACCGCCACAGCCTGCGATGCCCGTCAACGAGCTGCTGCAGACGGCCAACAGAATGGCCAACGTGGACATCTCGGCGTATCTGCCCACGGCACCGCCCAAGGCTGGCCGCTAAATCGGATCGGAGCGGAGCGGCCCAAGTCGAATCTCCCCCTTTTCCCACATTGGGCTATGCAACTCCAAAATCTCTCTCTTAACGATCTTCTCTTAGTATATTTGATTAAGCGCGCCAAAAACAAGCAAACAAAAAAAAGGAAAACAAACGAAATATGAAACATTTATTATTGTAAACCGTATGTAGATATTAATTAGTTCATGGTGAATGGATGCTTGCCCTCAATCGCTTCCCAGGATGCCGGTATCGATGTTGCTCCAGTGGCCGGAGCGGCGATAACCGAACATGCTTTTGAGGATCTCCAGGCCCGATTCGACGGTAGTGCGCACATCCCGCTCATTGCCCAGCTTTGGATTGATCTCCACCAGGTCGACGCCCTGCACCCTCTTGGTGTCCCGCAGCGCCTCCACAATGCTGATGCCCTCTCGCAGCGTGAGGCCGCCGCGAACGGCAGTGCCGGTGCTGGGCGCCACATTGCTGTCCAGCGCATCAATGTCGAAGCTGACGTGGATCTTATTCTGTGGATTCAATGCATCCAGAGTCATCTCGATGATTTTCGGCACACCCACGCGATCGATTGTCTGCAAAAGCAAGGACACAAAAATTAAAAATTAAACAAAAAGATGGGCCAAAGGGGCAGCATTTTATGGACAGAGAACGTTCAATGTGTGAGGCCTGGAGGAAGAAAGAAAGAGCGAGAGATAGTTGGTGGAGCTGGCCATTGGCTGTGATTAATAATTAAATTGCATTTCAAATGTTTCATATTTGCTTCAAGAACGCAAAAATAAACAAAGAAAGCAGTCTCCTTCCCATCAGCCGGTAACGTCGACAAGGAAGAGAACAGTTAGTCTCTCAGTATATATTTATGGCAACTTGTTTTTTATAGCAAAGTGTTCGCAGATTGTTGTGGCTTAGCGTAGCTGGTAAGGTATGAAACGGAATCGAATGACTTTATTATGCATGCCAATATGAAAGTTTTCCTTGAACGATTCATGGGTAAATAGTTGCCGTTTGCTTATGGTCGCCTTTTTGGCTATGCTCAGGTAATATCAAGAGTAGAGCTGCGATTGTGTGAAGAAGAGAGAGGAGAGCGTGAATAAAAGCTTTGAAAGCTCTAAATGGCGACTATCAGTGAGTAACTATCCCAACATTTACAGCCATTCATCGTCATTCTATGGCCAACTGTACCAGCAGCGCTGAGCTATTAGCCCAGACATCGGAAGACAACTGGCCGACTTCTCCCCCTCTCCCCTCCCTCCCATTCCGCGCACGCACATTCCGGTCGAACGTCATATAAAGAGACTATAATAAATTTGCAGCTCTGGTTATCGGGAGCGAACATTAAACTATTTTTCAACAGACTTCAGAGGCTTCGATTTTGCACGAGCCATAAATAATGGACAACGAGGAGAGCTGACAAGGATGCGAACGACGGGAGTGGCTGCGCACGTTTCGGGCATTCAGCATTCAGCATACCGCATATAGCCAGCCACCACCATTGCCAATCCATACCGATCGGAAGTACCCAGAGCGAGGCTTGTAACGGGGGATGGGATGAGATGCGATGGGCGGGGTTGGCATCGAAGGTTTCCTGGTGGATTGGTGTGCAGCGGGGAGTGGTGGTGGGGGGTGGGGGGGGCAGATTTAGGGGTAGGGCTCGGTAGGGAGGTTGTCTGTCCTGCTCGGGCAACCCCTATAAATGCCAAGCTTACAACATTACACACAGACAGACGCAGACACGAGGACATACTGTGTAATTCTCGGGACAGTCACGCACGATCGTGTCATATGATCCTGCGAGAATAGGGAGCGAGCGAGTAAGAGAGAGAAACCGGAATTTTAAAATGTATACAACTGGCAGGACCGGACGACACGAGGGGCATATTCCCTCTACCTCCACTACCTACAGATGTGTCACCGCACTCGCTCGCTTTCCCTTTACACATTTCTTCTTCGTGGTCTTAGGTATTCGATTTTTACTCACATCCATGGCATAGTAGCGTATCCCAAATTTATTCAATATGAACGCCTCGTAGGGGTCAATGTCCCTCAGCCCAATGTAAACCAACTGATCCTTCGGCAAACTGAAATGACAAACAAGACGAAAATGAAAGAAAATGAGAAACTAAGAACATTAGGCAGAGTCACACATCATCGATTGTGTGGGATAGGGATCGGGAATCGGGCATCGGAAAATGGGTGCATGGACCTCAAAACAGCTGACGAGCAGACAAGCTGACGGTCGTGTAAACAAATAGTCGTGGGTTCCAGTTGAATGGACAAACAGGATCGATCGAAACAGAAGAAAGAGCAGCAGCAAAGAGGCAGCAGGAGAAGTCCTTTAAGTGCAGACACCACCACCACCACCGCCCTTTTGCACCACCAGAAGTGAGCTTGGGTTAGGTCAGGCAAAGATCCTTACTCCAACACAACGTGAAGAAAAATGAGACGTTGGTGACTTCTCTGATTAGTTTGGCGATTTCAAAAGTGTTTTATTGATCGTAATGTTATCCAAGGGTATTCTTAATTTTGAAAAGTTATCATTTGTTCCCTGTTATTTGATATTGAAATGCAGTTGCTGAGCATGGACTTACATTCAGCGAGCGATATCTTCTCTGAACTTAATATTCTTCATGATCTTTCAGCCAAAACGATGCTAAATCGGAGTCGTACAAATCTTAAAGGATCCCCGAGGCTACATGGTTTCCCTTCCGATTGCTTCCTTTTTGCAATATTTAAATTTAATTTGTATTTGTTCATTTCATCAACTCTCCAAAGATCTTGCATCCTATTTACCCGAGTGGATGGGCCAACATTTGTGTCTTGCTGCATCGCCCACACCTTCGCATTCGGCCTTCCAGATCACCCGCTATCATTTGGCATTTCTGGATTAGTAAGCCAGGTGGCCGGCAGCCGAGGGAACCCTCGGATCTGCAACCGAATCGGATTGGGAGAGGGAATCAGAATGGGAACGGGAATTCATTGGCATGAGAACGGGAGCAGACTGCCGATCGATGCTGCACAAATTTGTAAAGAACAAAACAAACCAAAAACAACAACAACAACAGCAGAAACAGAAACAGAAACAGAAACAGAAACAAAACAGCAAGGGAGACGGGTAGGAGAGGGAGCAAAGGAAACACATGCCACGATTCAAATGACATGCAGCAAGCATGTCCCCGAATGTCCTGCGATCGTTCAGCCAACCCTCCGCATTCAGTCTCAATCTCTCTGCCTCCCTGTCTCTCTGGGTGTCTGCGCCTGGACTTTGACCCCTGTGTCTTATGGTAATTTCTATGATTATTAATATTAGTTTCGTGAAAAAGTGCATCTGTCCGAATCAGCTGCAAAGGGATAGGAATAGGGATCGGTGTCGGTGTCGGTGTCGTTGTTGGTTCTGCCGAAAACCCACGAGCAGTACCACTCTTGTGCAGTGAAACGTGCAAAGTTAAAAGCGCCCCGAGGATCGTTATGTAAATTTATGTATGTAAATATGTATGGGGAATGGGTGACCAAGGGTTTGCATTTCCATTGCCCATATGCATATGCCCTTGTACTCCCAAGGATGAATCATTGCAGCCAGCTCCTTTTTTCTTTCCTGCTCCTGCAACGAGCTGCGCTGTCTCCTAGACTACGTACATGTATGTATGTACATATGTATGTAGACTTTTTGGGCGCATTCACGCTACTACATAGCGGGCTATGCGAAAGCACTCGCTTAAGGGTGGGCCACGCCTCTCTATGCAACGGTTGTGCTGTGTTTTATGTGCGTGTCCATCCCTTTCACTTCACTACACTTCACTCCACTCCACTCCACGTCACTCCAACTCCAACTCCTTCCCATTCCATTCGATTCCACTCCCATCCCATCTCAGCTCAGCTCAGCCCATCCACATACACATCCAAATCCCCTGGCTTTTACATTTCCTCCCCTGTATCATTGTAATCTTGTGTTGGTTCTGCTTTTTTAATCCCGCTTTGTTGTAATATTCTGTTGCTGTTTTATTTTGGCCAGATTAGGCAACCCTTTCCCTTCGCACACGAATATTATTGCCTACTGTTTGGGGTATGCGATGGGCGCCCCCTAAAAGAAGCTGTGGCATCTAGGGGGTAGGGATATGCATAAGCATGTATGTAGCTTAAGAGAGAAAGAGCCAACATCCAGCACGTGACATCTATTAGCTATCTCTGTCATCTACGTCACACGCTTGAATAAAGTTACTTTGCATTACGCGTTAGCAAAATCAAAAAAATCAATTATCCTTGTGGATAAGAACTAGGCGATATTCAAGATCAATTTATGGGCGCAAGCTTATCGGAATAGCAATTTTCCTTTCTCCGAAATCTCTCTTACCGATCCGTTGATCGCTAACGGCTAAAAGCAGTCCAGCACCTGTTTAGCTTAAAGTGGGAATTTGTTAACGTTTTAAACGAAGAACAATAAGAACATTTATTGGACCAAGCGCCCATCAAGTTTAAACACGATTTGTGTGCTTCAACATTTAATTATAAGACTTTATGTACCTGGAGACTAGACACATTCACACATAAACTCATAGTACTATGTACATATGTGCGTGTAAATCAAATGAACATCAAATAAGGATGAGCCTCTAGGCTTAGATTGATTTATAGAAACATAAGGGAATAATTATGACCATTTAATGACAATAGCATATATGCATACATACATATGTACATATGTGCACCCACCATTTTAATTAATAAAAGCATAAGGAGACATAAATACATGACGCGGCTACATACATATACATATGTACATATTTGAATGCAAAAATATAAGTACTGTGTGTACTCGTACATACATACCACTACGGTCCCAATGCCCACTTTTGTTGTCCTAAATTAATAACTCGCGAACGAAAAAAGATATTTTGATTTAGTTTTTTGATATTAGTTAAGAATAGCAAGGGGCATGTTTTCTGAGAAAATGGGCGTGGCACCGCCTTTTTTTAATGGAAATGTTAGAAGCAAAATAAGGATGGGAATATGTTTAGCAGTGGAAGATTCTATCAAAAAAATCGTAGCACCAATTAAAACAGCTTAAAAATACAAGATGATCGAATTTTTTTCCCACAAAGGAATTCTCCATTGGAGTTTTCATTATAAAACAATATTACACTGGATATCAAACTCTAGACCTCCACAATAGCTAGTGACTAATATTTTGGCTTAAATGCAATGCAAAATGGCACCCTACTTCACAATTTTCTTCTTCATTGTGTTCCAAACGGCGAAAAAAACACTGAAATTTCTCATTTGAGGTTATGATCTATAAATGCAAATTGTAAGAGTTGTGGTCAAATGTGGCATTTCTGACTATATACATTTTAACAATCATTTATTGCTCTACGAAACACAATAGGTTTCAGGGTGGGACTGGGTGGCACTCTATTAAAAGAACATTTAAAAAAATTAGTTTTTACTACGAACTGATACATATTGAAGGCCTCACTTTAACATACAATTACGAAGGCATCGCCAACTACTAGATACCGCTCACATTACAAAACAGGTAGTAAAACCCTACTGAATAAAATGCATCCAAAAAATTGGTTCAGTTAATCGTATTTTTCAATTTAATAGATTTTTAAAACAGCAACAAAATTGGAATCTTTTCACTACACAAGCTGTGCAATAATGTATGAAATGTATGATGTCATGTATGAACATTTCTGGTACGCGGCTTTGATAGTCAATCTTTTTTAATACAGAGCGCCAAAAACCGCGTTTTGGTTTTAACTTTTAAAAATTAGCTTTTGGCCACCAAAAGTGGTCATTGGGACCATAGTGCATACATCTGTACATAAATACATACATGCACACATATGCATCTATGTATTTACATTTCTTGCCAACAAAACACTTGCGACGCCGATCTGTCTGAGTTAGCATCCGCATCCACGGCATCTCCGGCATCGCCTCGTCACCCAACAAAGGCCGCAAACCACCCCCAAGACGGAAAAGACCGTTGAGCTACAATTTGTATTGTATTTCGCGAGACTGTTCGTTCAGTCTCTTTCATTGAATTCGAACAGGAACAGGCTACAGAAAACATAAAACAGGGTAGCGCAACCATAAAAATCAGCACATTATAATGGGTGTTAGGATGGTGGGGTGAGTGCACGAACAGGAAGTACATAGGTGTGTGTGTGTGTGTGTGTGTGTGTGTGCAAGAGAGTGCTGAATACAGACGCAATTAAGGACATGCACGCAATACGCGTGCACGCACGGCTGGATTGGAGTTGAAATTGAACTGCCTCTTGGAACTGGGTCCTGGCCGGCCGGGTGGTAGAGGGTGTACAATTCTAAAGCAGGGCGGAAACAACCCCAGAGCTGGCTGCCCTGCCGACGTTGGTGGTTGCTACACTCACAATCCCAGTCCCCGTCGCCAGTGCAAAAACGAAAACGTACACACGCCAAACAGCCCTTAGCTGCTGCTGCTGCTGCTCTTCTCTGTTTGGCAAGGATAATGGTCGCGTGCATCATAAAACGGTTGACGACCTCACTGAAATACATGCAGAGAACGTTGATTTCCAGCCTGGACGATCGCCCCTGCCCACATCGGGTATATGTGCACGTAGTTTCGATATACAAAAATCTTTGCAAAATGTAACATTTCGCCTGCGGATTGATCGATCAGCCTGACCGACGTCCTTTTTAAGGCCTTTCTAAATGGGGCAGCAAAAGCATGGCTGGATCGAACATTAAACTAAGTTTGGTCAGCTATACAAAGTTAAGAAACTGCTAAACAAACTTTACGGCTGCAATCAAGAATATACATACATATGTACATAAGCGCATTCAAATTCTATCTTCTGCAAGGCCATAATATTGTCAAAATGTGGCGAAAAGTCTCTCCGAAACTAATGCTGCCAGACTGATGCCGCCCCATTTAAACACATGTTAAGCCGACAACTCTGTGGCAGCACTGCCATTTCATTCTCTCTCTCTCTTATGTTTTTCTCTCTCTGATGTTTTTCTCTTTCTGATATTTTTCTCTCTCTCTGATATGTTGAGCTCGGCAACATGCCATCGTTGTATAGCAACATTCATAAAGAGTAGACTATTGCAACATTTGAATACCGTGGAAATATTGATATGTAAAATTGGTACACTGCAACGATATGTTGCATTATTTTGGGCTTTAACTTGAATAGGTCCTAGAAAATGGAAAGCTCAATACAATTATTGATAGCAGAGTATACAGGGTATAGCAACTTACATACCTTAACGCTGTGCAGCCGCATGCGTACGGTGCTGCCAGCAACATGCAACTAGGGTCGAGCAACATTCGCTAATTTTTTGAGGCAGCGAAGGGGCGTCGTTGTGTAGGAAACGGCCTTGCCGCCTCAATCATTTGGGCGCCGCGGACATTGAAACAACAAAAAAAATTTCCAGAATTCTGAAAAGTAATTCCGACTCGCTCCGCGCTGCCACCTAACGACTAACAATCTCGTGCTAAATGTGTGCTCTCTTTTGTAATTGATTTTTTTTTCGAAAGTGCAAAATAATCATAGTTGAGAACCAACCTCTTGGTCTCCTACACAAAGTAACCAACAAATCCGAAACGGAAACCCAATCCCGTGGGAACAGCAAAAACAACAGCAGCAGCAACCAAACTAAATGTAAGAATCTCTCGGATACCGGACCCCGCTCCCGTCTTGTGCAACCTAAACGGTTTCTATCAAACAAAAACAACAGCAACTGTGGCTACAAAGAAACACACATTGCTAAACCAAAAAATTGTTAAAATTGTTTGCCAAAATGAATGTGCGGCACTGCATAATTGTGCAATTATACACAGTGTATATTTGAGTGTATACATGCATGCATATTATATCCATGGTATTTTTTTTGCTGTAGTGTGTGTTTCTGGTTTTAAAAACTTAAACAATGTGCATTTTGGCATACAACAAAAACAAAGGTAGCGTCAGAAGTTGTGGGAAAGATGCAGAGAGTGAGGGCGAGAGAGAGTAAGATTGAGAGTGATCGTTTTTGGGTTGTGGGGCGCCTGGATAGATAGCCGGGGAAACCAACGGAGACTCTCTCTGGCTCCCTCTATGTAGTAGTAGTGGTGTAAAAATCTATTGCTAATATGAAGCTGCCATCGCTCTATGTGCTGTGTATCTGTAAACGCTCTCTCTCGCCAGGGCACGTTAAATACAAGGTAGGACGTGGGTGAGGAAAGCAAGCTATGGTACCGGGAGAGCTGCTACTGCCGTACCTTCTATCATGAAGAAACTATATAAGGAGGTCTCGTCGGAAAAATTAGGCAAACGTGCGAGTGAAAGGGCTCTCGCTGTAAGTGTGAGAGCAACGACAATGGAGTGTGCTGATTAATCATTTGAAGGCAATGTGAAAAAACATAATAATTGTTTAATAATTTAATTTTTAATAGTTTGCTACATAATCGTAGTCTGTTTTGAATAAATAAACATTTTGAAAAAGTTTGAAAAAACAATTTTTTTCCGCAACCGTCCTCCCGCGTCGACAAGCAAACGAGCACTGAAAATTAGGAAAAGCAACGAGTTACTCTGCCACCGACGAGGCCTCCTTATAGTTACTTCATGCCTTCTATTAAGCATGGCCTGTGCCTCCCATGTGTGTTTGTATGTTTGACTGAGACTGAGCGTCCGCTAGTACTAGTGCTGTGAAAAGGGCGCAGCTGGCATATCGATTTTATGGGGCAAGTGCAAGGAGCATTGTACGGAGTCTGAAACAACAAAAAATAACACTAAAAGTAGTCGACATTTTGTCCATTAACTGAAGTGGGTGTGTGCGGGGCAGGAAGGTGAGGGCATTCGCTAAAGTGAAAAATATTAATAGTAAACAAAACGCCGGTTGCCATAAAAAGCAAAACGCCCTTGTATGTGACTGTAGTTCACGCAGAAATACTCAACGCGTAGAAAACGCGCGGAAATACAAACTAGAACAGTTCCAAGCATATCGGAACATCCATGCCCAAAAAATTGTTTCTCAAAATATTAAGACAAAAACAAAAGCAAGGCGCGTGCTTTAGTTACAACAACAACAAGACCCTATAGATACAAAGTGCTTTTATGTGTGTGTGAGTAGAGTCTCTCACTCTCTCTCTCTGCCTAACTCGCTGTTTGTGTGCGTGCCATACTGTTTCGTTATAACAAAAACTAATTTAAACCCACGCAGCCATGTAGGTATACATATATGTATACACATGTGTGTATGTATAATAACAATAGCAGCTGAGGCAGCCATACAGTGCATTTTGGAAAGGAGTGTGTAAGGAAGGGAGGAGGACGGATGGCCACTGTTGCCGGCCTCCTGCTCTTCCCGCCATACATACACCATTCAAATCAGTGCAGCAGCCACTGTGCAAAGGAAAGAGAGAGAGAGAGTAAGACAGCGAGAGTTAAAATCAGCATTGGTATTGAAACATAGCAAAAATAGCAATCCATCCGTTTAGTGGAACAGAAATTGTATAACAACAAAAATATGTGTACTGCCGATACATATATATACGTATGTAAATTTGTTGTTGATGTTTTTTTTTCGAGTGAAATGTAATTTTTACTCTGAAAGTGTGTGTGTGTTTCTCCACCCCCGTCTCCCTTGGTGTGGTTGTAAATCGATAGAATCGATTCACGATCAAGCAAAGTCATACAAACAAACATTTACCGCTACATTCGTTTTGTTATTCTTTACCGTTTTTTGTTTTTGTTCCCATCAGACAGCAACACCGACGACGACGAGGGGGCCAGCGATTATTTATTGGCCTTATAACAAAAAACTGCATAAGGAAGAGAGGCCTGGTCCAGTTTGAGAGAGTGAGCAGGAAAGTGAACGAGAGGAGGCAGCGCCGTGTAGAGCGCAGGCGCGTAAATCCAGGATTCGAAGTCCAGCGAGAGACAAAGAGAGAGAAAGCACACATTAATTCCTGAATTTTCTGGCCATCGAGCAGCAATATAAAAATCCGTGGACTACCTCCCTCATCCGCAACACCCCGCAACGACACGGCTGTAACCAACTAAACAGAAAACAAGTGAGTATTTGAAGATGGGGAAGAAATAAATGTACATATGTATGTATGTATTATATCGTCTATGTGTGTATACATAAGTATAAAAAAAGGACAAATTGCAGAAAGGGTGCGGTGCTGAAATTGGTGAAAAGAGAGTTTTTATCTGTGTGTGTGTTCGTTCATTTAACCTTTTGACTCTTTCTTCCGTATTCGAGAAAAGGTGCGAATTGGAACCGCGCTTGGTTCAATGTCAACTAATGTAATCGAACCCATAGTTCCACTGATCATCTGATCAGCTCCTAACATCAACTAGTTCCGTGAATTGCGGCTGAATATCAGCAAGTAAAAGCCGTTACCCCTACCGTTACCGTTACGGCGTTGCCACATCTCATGTAAATGTAACATAGTGGGGTGGTAATGCTCACTGCGTGAATTTAACCCTTAAGCTGCTGCAAGTTTCCTGTTTTCTTTTTGCAACAGAATTATTACAACTTGCTTCTTGGTCGGTTCTAAGGGTTGGTTTGAACAGCGTTGCGCCAGCATGCACACACACACAACTTGGGCTCACACCGGGTCAAGAGCGTGTGGGGTGGGTGGGGGTTTTACTAGCTCAAATGAACGACGAGCGGTTGCTCATTTTTCGCTGAAACACAAAATTTTCGGCACTTTTCCTTCCTTTTGTTAAGGGGTGCGCTTTTGTATCCTGCCCTCTCTCCCGTATTACATAACTGGATTGGGTAGGGGTATATAAAACTATGTATATGTGCATATGTCTTTGTGTGTGTGTGCCTGTAACAATTTCCCGTTTCCAGAAGGGGGAGAAAGAGCATTGAATGAAAGAGCCCGGCCATGTCCTGCTCCTGCTCCTGCGCTCAGAAGCATCGTGTGCCTGGTACGCAGCGGATCTGTTCTTGCAGCGGAAAAGGAACAACACGTAAAGGACCAGGAGAGGCAATTGAAATTGAAACATTAACCGAATTGAAACAAAAATTTAAGCAATCTAGATACACGGAATCCAAACAGAAACAAAGAAATCAGAAAAATCAAAAAAAAGCACCAGCAAAAATCAGACAAGTTATTTTCCACAGCGGCGAGGTGTGTGCTTGTGTTTGTTTTCGAGTGCTTTGGCCTCTGTGCAGCGTGTGGTCAGTGTGTGAGTGAGTGAGTGAGTGCGTGGGTGACAGTGAGAAGAGAAGTGCGAAGTGATAGATAGAACAAGTAAGTTGGCCGCTGGGCGGCGCCAGTGAGCAAAGCTCCTTCAGCTAACCGTTAACCCCAGAGCTAACCCCAGGACCAGGGCTGCAAGAGCACGCCTTAAAGTGATTTGACTCCCTGGTGCCACTTTAATATGTAGAATATTAAGTATAACTAACTAACTAACACCGTACTTACTAGCAGTAGCCGTATAACAACTAACACAACTTGCAAATGGTTTAATCTTGACATTTAACTACTCTTTCCATACGCCTCCCCCTGCGTTGGTCCCGCCATCGCCTCATCGTCACATCCAACTCAACTCAACCCCACCGATTGCCCCTCACCCAGTGGACTTTATGATGGCAAACACAGGAGCCGCTGGCGGAGTGGATACACAGACACAACTGATGCAGAGTGCAGCCGCCGCAGCGGCCGTTGCAGCCACCAATGCAGCCACCGCCCCGGTACAGAATGCGGCCGCTGTCGCAGCCGCCGCCCAACTGCAGCAGCAGCAACAGGTACAGCAGGCGATTCTGCAAGTGCAGCAGCAGCAGACACAACAAGCGGTGGCCGCGGCAGCCGCCGCAGTCACGCAGCAGCTCCAGCAACAGCAGCAGGCCGTGGCCCAGCAACAGCAGGCACAGCAGCAGCAAGTGCAACAGCAAGTCCAGCAGCAGCAGCAGGCGCAAGTGCAGGCAGTGGTGGCGCAGCAGCAAGTGCAGCAGCAGGTCCAGCAAGCGGTAGTGCCCCAGCCGCAGCCTCCGCCGAACACCAACGGCAATGCCGGAGTGCCGCAGAACGGAAGCAACGGCAGCACGGAGACGCGCACAAACCTGATTGTCAACTACTTGCCGCAGACGATGACGGAGGACGAGATCCGCTCGCTCTTCAGCAGCGTGGGCGAGATCGAGTCCGTAAAGCTGATACGTGACAAGTCACAGGTCTACATTGATCCGCTGAATCCGCAGGCGCCCAGCAAGGGCCAGAGCCTGGGCTATGGCTTCGTCAACTACGTGCGGCCGCAGGATGCCGAGCAGGCGGTCAACGTGCTGAATGGCCTCCGTTTGCAGAACAAGACGATTAAGGTTTCCTTTGCACGGCCCTCTTCGGACGCCATCAAGGGCGCCAATCTGTACGTGTCCGGACTGCCCAAAACAATGACCCAGCAGGAGCTAGAGGCAATATTTGCACCCTTCGGTGCGATCATCACGTCGCGTATCCTCCAGAACGCCGGCAATGATACCCAGACAAAGGGCGTCGGCTTCATACGCTTTGACAAGCGCGAAGAGGCCACTCGGGCCATTATCGCCCTTAACGGCACAACGCCTTCCAGCTGCACGGATCCCATTGTTGTGAAGTTCTCCAATACTCCCGGCAGCACCAGCAAGATCATCCAGCCGCAGCTGCCCGCGTTCCTCAATCCGCAGTTGGTGCGCCGCATTGGTGGCGCCATGCACACGCCGGTTAACAAGGGGCTTGCCCGCTTCTCGCCCATGGCTGGCGACATGTTGGACGTGATGCTGCCCAACGGATTGGGCGCGGCGGCGGCGGCTGCCACCACGCTGGCCAGCGGACCGGGCGGCGCCTATCCCATCTTTATTTACAATCTGGCGCCCGAGACAGAGGAGGCGGCCCTGTGGCAGCTATTTGGTCCTTTCGGGGCAGTGCAATCCGTGAAGATCGTCAAGGATCCCACAACGAATCAGTGCAAGGGCTACGGCTTCGTCTCCATGACGAACTACGACGAGGCGGCAATGGCCATCCGCGCCCTCAACGGTTACACCATGGGCAATAGGGTGCTTCAGGTCAGCTTTAAGACCAACAAGGCCAAGTAGGAGATGATCCCCGATCCGCGAGGATGGGAGGGCCGTAATTACATATAGTCTACACTATATTTCCCACATGCGCAGTTCCCTTAAGTCTCCAACAGAGACACTCACACACACACAAACACACATAGTCTCACACTTACAAACACACACACAAACACACACATATATAGATATGCATGGTATAACGGTAACTAAGCGCAACAAAGAGTATGTGTAAAACACACGCGAAACCAAAAAAACCACAAAAAGCGAACGAAAGAAAGCATGTAAATGCGAGAGAGCTCTCGTTAAAGGGTAGCCAGGAGATGGAGTACCAACACTGACTCTCTCTTAAGCGTCGACACAACGAAAGGGGCGGCCCACATCCTTGTAAACCTGTCAATCCCGACCATCCTGTAATCCGTATATGTACCACCACAAAACTCGAATCTAAATCCCAAAGAATAGTCCCAAATTGATGAAGGCCACCTCCGCCAAAAAGCCGTTGCAATAGCAAAATTCTTCTTGTTTAGCATTTAAGTAAAGAATCATTAACTAAAACAAAACGAAAAAGCTAAAGTGTGAGAGAGAGAGAGAGAGTAATACGAGTAGAAGAAGAAGAAAGAGTAGAAGATGAAGGCATAAAGCATAACAAAGAAATCAACAAAACGAAAAAAAGCCCCCAAAGAAAACTTTAAGAGAAAAACACAACTCTAAACAAAACTCCAAACTAGCAAAAAGAAAACAAAAACAAGAAGCAAAGAATTTTAAAAATGTATTTAAATTAAGTAAAACAGCAATGAAATCTTCCAAAACAAATGACAACAAAATAATCTGTTAGTAAAACACTCCAACAATTTTCTACCATTAGCGAGGAATATGAAGAAGGTACTAATCGAGTTCAGTGTCTAGGTAATATGATAACAATGTAGGGTGTCTGTGTGTGTTGGTTTCTGAAGGACATCGGTTCGGCTTGATGCTGCAGGGTGATTCTGGCAAAGTATTTGAAGATTCTATATAGTATATATGTATACTCAACATGGAGGCTGCTACAGTATTACAAGAGAAACAAAAAGCTACATACTTAAGCGATGTGCAACAAAAAGTTCAATACTTATATATATATATATATTTTATATATATATATATATATATATGTCTAATCGCATGATAGTTATATATCAACCATATAGATATACACCTACATATGTGCATATACAAGTGTAGATGTGTATACAATTTTACAAATTTTGTTAGTGTTCTTTTTTTGTGTATGTTTCTTAAAATTTAAAGGGAGTAGGAGATTAGGGAGTAAAGTGATGTGAAAGATAAGAGGAATGTCAGACCCAGATCAAGCTTAATTTGTGTCCTTTACACACACACACACATGCAACACACAAAAAAACACGAACACACAACACACAAACACACACACACACACTAATAGCAGTTAGAACTGTAAAAACTTGGCGTAAAAAAGAGGAAAGAAACGTAAAGAAAAGCAAGAGTAATACAATAATTTATGCGCAAATTTGAAATGTTTTACTAAAGTAAATAATTGTTAGTGAATATTTAATACTATAACTATGTCAAGTGTGTGCATGCATCTATATGGATATATAGATGCGTGCAACCAATATATACATACATACATACTTTATCTAATGTATAGTTCAAGGAGCAAATAAGCGTCGAATATTTGCTAAAAACCATACCGTTTTTTAGCGTTTAACCAAAAGACAAAAGCATAGCACAAAAGATGAAGAAACTAAAACAAACAAGTACAGCCACCACACACAAAAAACAAACCACTTTTATATGACAAAAGTTTAAAACAAATTAAAAGCAAAGGGATAAAATTAGGTATGAAATAGGTACATACAAACAAAAGCATTAGCAAAGCGATTTCTCTAGCAAAGTAAGTTTAAGCGAAAACTTAATAGGATTCAAGCGAGATGCAGATAACTAAGCACATTTACCCCGTACCACCCCGAAAAAAAATCCCAAAAAGCTTTTGCGTTGATTTATCATCAGTTTTATTCACTTGAAAAGTTTTGGTTACTTCTGTTGATTGTTAAGCGAGAGAGTGGACACACAAGTAAAACACAAACAGACACACAGATATATATTCAACTGTAAGCCATGTACGATTTCAATTCAGAATTCTATATTTCGATTAAGTTTTGTTTGATTTCTTTGTTTGCTTTGTGTAAAAATCGGAAATGGAGGCTCCTGCATACGCATACACCGAACCGAACAGAACATATCCATTAACAGTTCCCATAACCTGACAAGAACGGACCTCATCCATACATCCGACTACAAACCTTAACCCAAACCATGCATATTTATAACAATGTTTTGTGTTTTAATCTATATTGATTTCTTTATGAAACTATATAAAAGACCAACCCTCCTTCCCCGAACCAAAGAGAGTGCCCAAATTTGATTTCTCTCTTCCCGAATAGTGAAAATTATTAACTTAAGTTTTGATCAAAACCAAACTGAACCGAACATAACCGAATCCCCAGCAAGGGGCAGGAGTAGGAGGTGGGGCCACTTAGAAATTGATTGAATTCTGCTTATGATTAATCTACCTAGAATATATATATTTATATGTTTACCATATATCCCTAAACATAGTACCTTTTTTTTGTAACTGTAGGCCGAGCAAGGAAAGGAATTTTTTTTTTGTTTTCTTTGTTTGAACAAAATTTGCAACAAGAAATCTAGTCAGAAGAGATGGAAAAGGAGAAGATGAGGATGTAGAGAAGCATGAAAACCAATATTTGAGCCAGCAGTAAATGAGAGGAAAGAGAGTTAAATTCAAGATCAAACCAAAAGTACTAAGACAATTTATATCTAAAACTAAGCATAGCGAAATGATTGATTTATTGATTGAGCCAAGCCCACACCCTCGCCCCACAAAACGCAGTAGAGAGCAAGCAAAAAATATATTCAGCGAGATCAAGTCCTTGCGCTCTTCTCCTGACTTTTTGCTTGATGTTTCCTGCCAACCTGCTATATATTTTTAAACAATCTGCTAGTTCATTTATTTAGCACAATACACATTTTACAGATATATAAATATACAGTGTGTATATCATATAAAGGAAAGTGCACAACATGTCTAGGAAATCCGTTTTAATTGAATTTTGAATGTGTACGTGCATCTATATATATATATATCTGTGTTATGTGTATGCTATATATATATTTACATATATACATACATATATTATTTAATTACCCCATTCTTTATCTTATCTATATGTATGCTTTTTTTTGTCATCAATGATTTAATTAATTGTATTAATTATAATTCTTGTGCAATAGATTGCAATTTACGAAAACAGCAACACATTTCATGCATCTCAATTTAACAATTACAAATTATAATTTCAATAATAAGAAACAAATAAGCAGTCGAATAAGCATCAGAAATATCAACAGAAAATAAATATAAAAAAAAGAAGAAAAATAATGTGAAGAATACGAAGGGTAGAACCGAACGATCGATGACGACCGTGCAGTTAAACCCCATTATTATTCTGTAAAATCATAAAATAACAAGATCAAGATATACAAGATTTCATATATTTTTTTGCGTGTAATTTTACAAATGTAAGCGATTTTTCAATGTACATTATGTTTGTTCAAATGTATATGCATATTATTTATATTTATACCTCTCATCATTTTTTCTTTACGTAATTTAAGTGATCGAACAAAGAACCGACGGAACCAAGAGCAGAACAAACTTATTTATTGTATTTTTTATGAATTATGTAATTTAATGTAATGCAATTTGAGTTGAATATTCCTTTGACTTTCGACCAAAGCGAAGAGGAACTTGATGAAGAATATAGCCTAATTATACAAACCCATAAACACACACCCACACACACACTTTGACACATACACACAAACATGAACAAGCAGCGGGAGAGAGAATATGGAGCAAGATGGAGGAGAATGCGAGACCGCTATGTGGCACACCCAAATGCAACTCTTGGCAATGTTTCAATTCACTCGTCCCTCCACCTATATCTTTTTCCCTCTCCCTCTTTGGGGCCCTTCGATGAACATTTAAATTTTGTTTAATTTATAATTTTAATTTTGTATTTTATAATTTGTTTTTTTAATCCAAATTTTAACATTGTTTCAAGGTCGACTTCGATTTGTAATTGCAACAGGGGGAAGTAGTACTCTCAGTAATGCACCTATAAGCGATGTACGATCCTTATGAATCGAAATTACCATCAAATCGAATGGCAATTACAATTACAATTATGATTATGTTTATGATTTAGTTTGATTTTATTTTTCAATTTGATTTTTATGTCTTTTATGGTTTTTGATTTAACTTAACTCCACGATTTGTGAAATTGTGCTCGACTATGATAATATCCATTATATTTACGTTTACACTTATGATTTCATTTGATTTCCGCACCCAAAACGTAACAAGAGCAAGAAGCCAAAACGAAAAAATTTTCAATAAATGAAACACTTGATGGAAATTTTTGCATACTTATTTTTATTTATATTATATATATTTCAATTTGTTTATTTGTTTATCGTTTCTTTAAGTTGTATCATTTCTGTTGCCTTTCTTTTCTGTATTTTCTTTTTTCGTTTCTTTTTTCCGAAACTCTCGACGTTTTATCATACTACTATGCGAGTGGACTGTACCCTGAACATTGGACTTGAAACTGGACCACAGCCCCAGGGGCGGGCTTGCCATCTGCCAGTATATCCTTCTCCTTATCTCCATCTTTCCACCTTTGTTTTTCTCTCTTTATTTTTTACACATACACACATATACTCGTACACACACAAACTGACACAGAGCTAGTCAAGCAGAGAAGCCGTCGGAAACCGTTGATCTCAGAAAAAGACATTGCGCCAGTACTTGTCCTAGGCCTAGTTTTAGCATAATCCCCCCGACTCGCACGCGACTCTCACTGAGGACTCCCTCTCTCCCCAAATGCATTCCAATTAAAACGATTTCAGTATGTTTTCTTCTTTCGGTTTAGAAGATGCGATATTATTTGTGTGCAAAACGGGGGAATACTCGTACTTATAATTTTGTGTAATGCCATTATGCTTAATGAATCACGATTATTATTCCTAGTTTAGTTTAGTTTAGTTTAGTGGTACGACTGAGCCGAGTCAGTTCCAGAGCCAGAGCCAGAGAGCAGAAATTGAACGCCTGTGGCGGAAGTACAGTTGCGCCTCGCTCGGACTAATATTGTAATTGATTGTATGATTTTTGAGTCTGTATCTTTGCCTAATTGTGTCTGTACCTTTTTGTAATTTTTTTAAACAATTGACCTGATTTGTTCCACATCTAGATCGCAGTTTATCTATAATTTTCAAAGGGCGGTGAGCCGGGCGAACCGTTGCCGATGCCGATAACGATAGCGATACGATTACACAAATGATACCGTTAATAATCATGACAGCAACAACAACAAAAAAGCAGATATATATAAATATATATATACACATATATATAAATATATAAAAAGATTATGATTACGATGATGATGATGATGATGATGACGAGGATGAAACTATTTAATTTATTTTATTAACATATTTATATCGATTAATTAATTAATAATATTTATCACACATTTCAAATGATATTTCAAAATGGAAACAATACAAAACCAAACCAAACAACAACCAAAAAAAAAAGAACAACCAAAAAAATGAATACAAGCAAAAGAGAAAAGAAGATATTAATATTATAAATGTATTTCAAAATATATGATTATGAGTTTTTCTTGCTTTTGCATATATATATCTCTCTATATAGTACTTATATATCAGAACACACCAAGCTCTTTATTTTGATTGATTCTGTTTCCATTTTATTCTTTGATTCAGGTTTCAGTTCAGTTTCACACTTTTGTTCCCCCCTTCAAATTGGTATCTGTATCTGATTCGGTTCTTTTCCATTTAGTTTCTCGTCCATTTTTTGTCCTTATAAGTTTCTGTTTAAGCTCGATTAAATTCTGTTTTAAATCGACTTAAGTTTCTGTTCAAGTTACATTCATTTTAGCAGTCTGTCTCTTTCTTTTTCAGTTTCCATTCGACTGTTATGTTCTTAAGTTGTTTAAGTTTACGTTTTTTTAAGCACTGGTCTGTTCTGGGTCCCATCTTTGTCCTTGCCTTCTGTTCTTTGGTATTCGTTTCTCAAACACAAATATTTTGTTGCAGTGCATCACACACTGACACACAAACCCACACGTACACACCCACGGACACTATCTCTCTCTCTCTCTCTCTCTCTCTCTCTATAAATATATTTCTCTTTCCGAAATTTGTTTCAGTTTGTTGTGTGCTAGAAAAGTTGACCCCCGCCCTTATGCTCTTATGATTTCGCTCAGTGTAATTTGAACGTACGCTTCTTGGTCCCACTGTACCCATGAGCCGGAAGCTAAATATCGCAAAATGGCTGTCAATGGCTGAGAAGGAGGAGAACCAAATATGATCTGATTTTGACATTTGAGTTGTTGATTTCGTACCCGTACTACTTTCCCCATCCGCGCCAGTATCTCTCCCAGGGTAGATGATTTTCGTTTTCAGATCTTTTCAGTTCAGTTCGTTGTTTCTTGTTGCCGTTGTTATTGTTGTATTGTTGTACCTCACATACTTTTATTGTTTCGTCTGATTTTTCGGTAAGTAATTCGAGAGACAAAAAAAATCGGAGGAAGAACAGACAGACACGGTGCAGAAGATGAGGCAGAGAGCCACCCACCCACCACCATTCTCAACCATAGAACCAACCATTCAATCGAACAAAAACCGATCCGAACAGAACTCTGCTGTGTACACACCCCAAATGAACATTTTGTCGGCATTCAAAAGAGCAAAAGTAACTGATGATTTCACTAAATGATTTCAATTCTCTTTTTATTAATCTATTTGTAGCCCGAAAACTGAAACACAAGAAATACCAGCAGCAAAACAAAAGAAATAATATATTTTTACAAAGCATTTTCTAATTTGTTTCTTTCTCTTGATTTATTTTCAGGCGTGTGTTCTTGTTGTTCGTTCGATTTTCAATTGAATTTATGCAAAAAGAAAAAAAAACAACCGTAAAAAACAAAAGAATAGAAAACACTTGACACATTTCTTCTTCGATTGAATTAGTTAATTGGTTAATTGATTAAAGCCGATAATGATTGTGTAATTCTATTGATTCATTGATACTTTAAACTTGAATATTGATTGTAATTATTTAATGCATAAACCACGGAAAATCCCATACTCCAACTACATCCCAAACCTCCCCATCGATTGATGTATGTATGTTTGTATGTACATTTGATGTACATACATACATAGTATTTGTGTATTACCACTCACAGCCACACCCAAGCACACCCAAGCACACAACCACACACACAGAGATACACACTACATAACGCTGTACTTATTGTAACACTTCGGATGAAAAAAAAAACCTTAGCTACTGATACATACATATATACTTTTCCATTTCCAAGAGAGCTTTTCTAGTTTCTAGATTTGATTTTGATCAAGCAATGTTGCACCATCCCCACAAACCAATTCACAATCCACAATCCACAATCCCAAGCCGCCAAGCCACTCAAAGCAAGCAAAAAAAATAACTTTAAGTTAAACAGATGATGGATAACAGTATATTTATCTGGTATTTCTGTGGGATCTGTGTGATGTGCCGTCATGTAAATATTTATACCCAAATCTAATTTCGATTTTCGTTTATCCTCCGAATTGTCCACTCTTTGTGAGGTTTGATCAGTTCTTGAGTTTACTCTTTCTTAAGCTGTACTATGAAATTCAATGCAAAGGCGATGGCGATCTTTACATTTTCTGATTTGAAATTAAGTTTTTTCGGTTTTATCGATCGGTTTGGATTGTTTCTTTGAGTAAAGCAACCCATCCAAAGTCCAACCCATGCAGCACAGCCCCAGCCCCTGCCCGCTCCGACACCATCCGACACCCGTTGAGGTCATGTATGTATGTATGTGTTATTAGCCTTAAATATACTCCGATAGTCGTTTGAACCTAGCTTAGAGCGCCATATAGTAAATAGAACAGAAATCGTGGCGCAGCCGAATCGATCGTAGTGCTCGAATTACTTTTTCTTTGATTTTAGAGGAATCCTTTGATCCTCACACGATTTGTTTGAATTTGGGTGATCTCCGAACCGGGTCCGATTTCGGATCTCGGTCCATGTTCGTTTCTGTTAATTGTTTTTCATTGTTTCGATTTAGAAAAGAATTCGAAGCCCACAATTTTCCAAGCTCGTAAGCAAAACGACTAAACTGCCAAACCAAAAAGCAATATTTAATTGTAAAGAACTTTATAAATAAGACGATGAAAGGTTGATAGCAACTAAACCAAAGACTGAGGCAAACGCAGATCAAAAAAAAAGAAAAACAAAGCCTAAGAAAAATAAAAATACTAACTAGACAACAAAAACAAAAGAAAAACCAAATCAAAATCCAAATCCAAAGAATCGAAAAACAAAAAAATTAATCCAAGCAGAAAGCGAGAGAGTGAAAAAAGAAAATCAAAAAGTAAAATCTAAAACAAAATATTTGTAGACCGTTAAGCCAACTGTGATAAGGTGCCAAGGCAGCCGACTCCCCCGCCTAAGCCCCGCCCTTCCCACCACCACCACCACCCCACACCAAACAGCCCAAACCCCCCAAAACCCTCCCCAAAGCAGAGAGAGACCCAACTGATAGGAAAACATTAACATAGCCATACCATAGCCGTAAGCCCTCCTCTGTCTAGATGTAAGCGATCCAATAAATAAATCAATGCAACACTCAGAGAGATCAGAGATGGTGGAGATCATAGATGGAAAGATGTAGCGACGGCACTCACCAGTTGGGAGCGATCTCGTTGAGGCCCGCATGCTGCCAGGTTGTGCGAAGCTGCTCCAGCAAAAAGGAGACAGGCATTCCATGTATATTTCCCGACTGCGAGGTGCTGTGCAGATTGATATCCGCATGCGCATCGATCCACACCAGAGACAGATTGGGTGTATGCTGCAGATGACCGGCCACAGAGCCTGCAAAAGTGGATCAGACCCGGATCAGATAGACCCACACACAAGAATATTCGCGTACTCACCGAAACCGATGGCATGGTCACCGCCAATGGCCAGAAACTGCGAATTCTGCTGCAGCATAAGCTTCACCTGCTCGATCAGGGCCCGATTGCAGGCCATGAAGTCGGCATAGTTGCGGATGTGATGATAGTGGACGCGCTGCTGCTGCAACAGTGTCTCATCGACGGCATACTGCAGGTTACCATAGTCCCGGATCACAAGTCCATCTAACAATCGATGGTGTCCGATCGATCCCATCGATGAAAATGCCGAATAAAGTTTCAGAATTCAATTCAATTTCAATGTGGTTTTGTCTTGGCGTTGGGTTTTGGTGGGGTAATTGTCGACTCGACTCCATTCCACTCCACTCGACTCCACTCACCGTGACTGCTCTGAAGCACTTGTCGCAGATTGCTCTGGCGCAGCAGATCCGGCGCTAGCTCAACGCCCTGTTTGCCCTGGCCCTTGGCAAACGGCACCCCAATGATGCCCAGACTCTGTTCGGCCACCACGGAGGCCTTAGCCCTGCTGGAGTTGCTGCCACTGCCAATGCTGGTGGTGCTCTTGCAGCGCACGAGGCAGCGCAGACACCTTGACGCTAACTTTTGACTCGCCAACATGCTAGCTGGTCTGTTCGCTTCGCTTAAAATCGCACAACTGAGGCAGAGGCGGCGACTACGACGACGACGACGACGACGACGGCAACAACGTTGCCAGATGAGAACTATCATCTTAGGGCGTCGTCTGATAATGGCCTGGCGACAGTTCAGATCGGTGATTGAAGCCGCGTGAAGGTTGCCCCCGACTTGGGTATGGCATGGAATTGAACTGAGCGTCAATGGGAGAGCTGAAAGCTTACGATGTTGTGCCAGCGATAAGGCGCTACAGATAACCTTGATCCTGGCGGCACTGACGACAACAACGATGACAATGGACAGTGTACAATGCTGTAGATACTCTCTCTCTCTCTCTCTCGCTACAACCCCACCATGGGAGTGTTGTTACAAAGAGCCATGTGATTCATTTGATCGTTAACTGATTCAATTGATTCTGATATAGATGCGAACTAGGACTATGCCATGCGTAAAGGTTAATCAGAGCTAAATAGGTAGGTACATTATGCTTTTATTTAGATAATTGCTTACATAGCTATAATTGCCGTATTTTGTTGTGGATATGTATACGATAGAAGTACATAAAATATATGTATAAATAATCATGGATACTTATGCAAGTAAATGCTGCACCCTTGGCTAATTAACTATACCGCCATAGCATTACTCCTTCCATCGATTTCAGCTTGCTTTGTCTCGTCTGTAAAGACTATTTAAGATCATGCAGTGCCACAGCTATGGACATATATAATGTAAATATATGTATATGCTATTTACATAATTATGTATGGGTTGTCTGCTTAGATTTGCATTTGGTTTTGTTCACTTTTTTGGGGACCTATATATGTATATGTATATTTAAGAGGGTATCAAGGCCATTTGTTAACTGTTATGTTCGGGCCGTTACTTTCTGAGTGATTTTCCATGTATTTAGACGGTTGATTTATTGAAGACACATCGGAAACAGATCGGCTATACATAGTACAGACTTCTGTTTGTAACTGGAACTGAAGAAGAAATTCAAATGGAATAAGTTCTTAAAGTGAGCCACAAGTAAGACCTAAATAGTGTTATTTAATATGTAATTAAAGCTCAATTATCTACACACAAGCACACAGCACAAAGTATATTAAAGTTCAGGCTTCCAAACAAAAGTTATCTATTTTTTCTAAGATTAATTTTGATGTAATTATTTTACCATGCCGATTCATCAGCGGTTCAATTTATGTCTGTAATACATTTGCCTATCATTTAGAAATGTATAGTTATATATTATGTAACAGCAATAATCTTGGCTATTAAATATCAAGTGACGGAGCCATAATTTAAATTTACAAAAATTTAGAAGAGTATAAAATTAAATATTTTTAGCTGCCATTTAAATCTTGGCTGAATTTAAATTCTTAAATGGTTACGAATAATTTTTTGGTTTTAAATCTGTTACAATCTGCCTGCATGTCCATGTCCTCTCATATTGCTGTGATACGCACTGTACACACGAAAGGGTAAGCTGGAATCTTTGTTTTGGCAGTCACCGAATATATGTACATATGTACATAAATACATATGCATTTACATACGTACATATATGTATATATATGCATATGTTGTATAAATTTCAATTATTTCGATAGATTCGTGTCTTCTTTAGATGCTATTTTAAAATTGCTTCTGCTGTACTCTGGTTAGAATTGCATAAGTAGGCTCTCAGTCTTAAGTTAAGTTGCGATTATGATTACAATTACGATTAGGGTTTCTCCCGCAGAGAGATTCGCCAGGGCTTGAGAGCGGGGTTGGGAGTTGAGCTACGCTGGGCTGGGTTGGGCTAGGCTGGAGTTCTTCCATTTTCTATATTAAGCTGGACATTGCAGGCGAATATTATTACAAAAAATAACATTTTCCTAAATATTAAATCGCACGCGTCAAATAAAAAAATACATTCTCATAAATAATTCATATCGAATAATTAATAACTATTAGTTACATTTACAGCACATAGAGCACGACCGTGATCTGTACTTTGCAATCGTAACTGGGTAATAAATATTTGCGGCTACAGCTGCGGATTTCTTTTATCAACTCAATTGAAAGGGAAACCATTGCATCAGCATCAAACTTTGCTGCGAACCTTATTTTTTGTAACCTTTTGGGAATTGTTTACCGCAGCTGTAAGATTAATTAAAAAAAACAAAAAAAAACAAAGGAAGAGCAATCAATGCCTTTGCTTGGGCTTTTCTTGAAAACGTTTTGAATCACAGTTTTGTTGTGTGGTGTTGATGTCTGCTGTCGCTGCTGCTGCTGCTGCTGTTGGGGGTGAGCTGTGGGCCTGGGCCACTGCCTAGTGACGGCGCGGCTTGCCATGCTGGTGCAGCATGACAATCTCATCGCCGCTGTCATCGGCCACATCCAACTCGGGCTCCATGCGCGGCCCATCCTCGTCGTCGTCCTCGTCCCCGTCATCCTCCTCATCCGTGTGCAGAATTCGCTCCAGATGCTCCTCATCAAAGTACGGCTGAATGGTCATGCCACCTGCAGAACGAAATACAAAAATGAAATGTAAATCAAATCATTCAGTTGTGAAAGTGATGGCAACCCACGCTTGATGGGAGAACGAAAGAGCTCCGTTTCGCCGTCATCGCCCGCATCGTCCTCCTCCAGGTCAAAGTGTTCCTTGCTCTTCTGTGGCAGCAGCGAGAAGTTGTAGTACGGCTTGTTGCCCCGATGGCGACGATAGAACCAGAATTGAGCGCAGAGCACGCACACGACAACGCCGACGATGATCATTATGCTGGCAAAGATGATGAAGAGAAAGCGCGGCAGACCGAACACGTGCTCGTTGAACTTCAGATGGAAGACGACATTCTCTGTGGGCAGTCCTCCCTGGGCCAGGTGCAGCTGTCGCGTGGCCTCGAAGTGACGCGGCGCCTCCACCTTGAGGCTCACTGTGCCGAGGGGCACGGCGGACAGGCGGTATTCGCCCAGGCTGTTGGTAAAGTTGCGCAGCCGCTCGAGCCCTGCCGGCGCAGTGACGGACACCTTGGCATTACGAATGGGATGGTTGCCCTCGTCGAGGACGACGCCGACAATGCTTGTCGTGAACTTGGAGCCGACACCCGTCACGGAGAGCGCAGGATTATTGCTGGGCAGCTCCTCGACCTCGCCGCGTATCAGGGTGAATGGGTGCAGGCGGATGACGCCCAGATCGAGCAGCTGGTTCTGCTGCACCTCGGCCTTGATAACCTGCGACGCATAGTTGGGCGCTGTCACCTCCAGGCCGTACAGGCCGCGGGGCAGCATTAGCTGGAAACGAGCCGCATTCCGTGTTACATTATACACCATTTTGTGCTCCAACAAACGGATAAAGGCCTCGCGCAGCGGCTGCCCCTCATTGTTGTGCACAAGGCCAGTGACTCCGGTTTGGACGAGGCCCAGGAAGTTCTTGATCTTGTCAATGTTCTTGCGCCACACCGAGGCGATCTGCTTGTGGTCGGGCATGCGGCAGCACGAAACGCCAAGTGTGTACATGGGCATGTTGTACATTTTGTAGAGAAGGTTCGTAAGGCGATCGCTGGTCTCGCGATGCAGCTGCCTGGTGGCCGAGGCGCTGCACTGCAGCGGCGAGAAGTTGAATTCCGTGCGCTGGATGCTGTGAGCGAACTTCTCCAGTATGGAGTCGCCGCGCGGGAAGCCCAGCTCGGAGCTGCCCGCACTAAAGGTGAGCATCAGGTCGAAGCGTTCGCTTTGCAGAAACTGCAGTAGCATTTTGGGTCCCGGCTCCATTTCGGGACTCAGCAAACGCTCGGCCAGCTCATCGCCCAGCACAGGATCGCACACAGAGGAGCTACATATGGCGGGAAAGTGATTTAGAGATCAGGCTTAGAGTTCTATCTTGGGTCACACTCACTTGGTGTTGTACAGGTCAAAGACCTCCGGGAACTTTTCCGTTTGCGGCAGAAAGTAGATGACAGTTCGCTGGAGCACCTGCATTACGGTGGCATCCTGCAGCTTGTAGCCCTCCACCAAATGACGAATGAGATTCAGCATCAGCTCCCTGCCCAAGGGCGCCGCTGTGTCGTACATGGAGCTCACCACCAGCATCTTGTACTTGTGCTCCTCGGGCTCACCAATCTGTCGGGGAAATTATGCAATGAGAAAAGTTCGTTTGTGGAGGCAGACACCCACTCACATCGGATGTCATCTTGAGGTAGTTGAAGTAACGACTGAACTCGTTGTCCGCATAGCCAAAGCTTGCGATTTGTCCATTCTGATTCTCCAGCTCCGCCAGGCGTGAGCGGATCTCGGCGTTCGTGTGGTAGCGTGTGTTCACCACATTCTCGATTATGCGAAAGTCATTGGCCGACGCCCAGTGCTGGGGATCGTCGGGCATGAGGGTAACGTCCAAGCGCATGTTGTATGGTTCCGCTGCCGGCACCTCCACTTCCACGCGTAGCGGGGCATAGTTGTCCCCCAGAACGGTGACGTTGTGCTGGCCGGGCAATGCGAGCTTCCAGTAGTCGCCGAATGTCTGGCTAAAGGTGGAATGATTAGCCCCATCCAATCGGACAACGGCACCGGCAATCGGTGTACCGATGGTGCTGTGCACCAGGCCATGGATGCCGTGGTGCACCTGTTCGATGAACTGCAGCATCGGCTCGCGGTTGTCGCGCCAGTACTGGGGCAGCTCTCGGGCCAGTGGGAACTTGTCACAGCCCATCTCAATGGTCAGCTCCAGGCAGCCGGCGCGCACATAGTTCCAATCCTGCATGCCCCCAGTGACGCTGTACCACTGCGCCCCATTGGTGATGCCCTCGGCGAAGTGCTCGTTCTGGAAGAGTTCGCACGCCTTGCCCAGGTGCATGGTGGGATGGGCCTGTGCATAGACTGCCGCCAGATGCCGGAACAGGACATTATCCTCAGTGGGATTCAGCTTGCGGCCATTGATGCTGGCGTCGCGTAGGCGCGCGTACGGATCGTTGAAGTCGTTCTCGTTGTCGTCGAACGGATAGTTGGCCACCAAGGAGCCGCCGTGAAGATTTGCCGACAGCACGAAGGGCAGGGACAGTGTCCAGTTCATGACAGCAGCCACCTCCGGCTCAGTGATCTTGTTGAACTTGTCGGTGCCGTACTGGTCCGGGAAGTTGCGATTCAAATCGATGTTGTGGGCATTGGCGCGTCCCAGGCCGCTCGTGCGGTCGCCCTCGCGCGACACCTCATACCCGTCCGGGTTCATGCTGTAGAGGAAGTGCATCCGCGTGCCGTTCACCAGCCGTGTGACCCGCTCGTCGTTACCGTACCGCTCCAGCAGATACTTGCTGAGCAGCAGGAGCATCTCCTTGCCGACCACCTCGTTTCCGTGCATATTGGCAACGTACTTGAACTCGGGCACACCGGGCACATGCGATCCTGGTGTTGCGAACAGCTCCAGCACCCACAGATCCCTGCCCTGGACACTCTTCCCGATGCTGTAGAGCCGCGTAAGCGACGGATAGCTGGCCGACAGTTGTCTCAGGTAGCTGCAAAGGATCGATCGGCAGGGAATGGATTTGATACTCCTGACATCCTCCCGGCTTGTACTACTCACCTCTCCATGGCCGTGTAGTTGTGGTGCTCGAAGACGGTGTGGGTGAGGAAGCCATCGAACTGTTCCTTCCTAGCCTCCGGCGGCTCAGCGCGTTCCACCTTCACCTTGCGGAAGTTGCCTACGGATGGGGATTTGGACATGGATTAGGGATATGTTCCAGTATATCTGTGTGTGTGTGTGCTAGTTTATATGTATGTGTGCGTAAGATTAGCCATGCGAAGGTTGGATGAGGATGAGGATTAGGATCGGGGTTGGGGTTGGGGTTGTGGTTGGGGTTGCCGCATGCCGGTGCAATGGGGAAAGCTGTTGGAGCGCTGGGGGGAGAAGGGTGGTGCGTCTAAGAGGCGAAAGCAGATGCATAATTTCGTTTGTTTATTTTCACATTTATTGAGAATAAAATCCAAGTAAAATGCCAAAGAAGTGATAAAACCTTGCTCATCGGGAGATGCATCCCCCTACAGATGTATGTAATTATAACAGGTAGTACATACATACATACATAAATATCTACATATCTACATACTCTTGTTGGGGCACACACCACACACGCAGAAATTGCAATTTTTTTCATTTAATTTCTTCTTTTTTTCGTTCCGTTTAGGGTACTTTGATTGATTTACAATTAAAATTTCATCAGAGTTCATAAAAATAGTTTCCATCTACTTTCAGCAAAAAATCTTTAACGGGCAGAGCGGATCATCAGGTAGATACATATCATTAAAATATTTAACTATATTTACACAAAGGATGAGTTTGAGAGAATTGAACCCAAAATATAAACAAGAATGAACAAACGAAGAAATGTTTACAGATTAAATGATGTTGTGGTATGGTTTCGTGATGAGGTGAAAATAAAACATACCAATGCTAAAATCCACATTTTATTTTGCCCTTGCCAAAGAATAAACCGCTCAAACCATTCAAATCTCATTCCCATTATAATTACGGACAATATATGGATGGTGGACTGCTACTACAGGCGATTGTTTTCCACATTCCACATTTGTTATCCATTAAATACTCGTTTAATAGACAAATATACAGATGTTCATAATGCATAGTAGCACTAAGAAAACAACTCAAAGAGTGGTCAAATGGAGTAAAAACTGGCTGCCTAATCAGTATGGTGTATTGGCTCCCAGTGCCTTCGGCTCTTGGTGAGAGAGCCTTCGGCTGAGAGAGTTTGACGTTGGCTCTCTTGAGCACTGAACGCAAAGCGACTCGAAAAAACAAAGTTTTTTTTTTCCTTTTCAAGTCTGTTTCGTAATTTCATGTGTGCTGTGACACATATATTCATACAGACATGATGGCACTGCGTGTATCTATTCATATGCGTTTTTATTTTTAGCGCTTGAGACGCTTAGCACTTTTATGTTGCTTCTGAGCTCACATGCCCTTCTTTCAAACTTGAGTCTTTCAGCTTGCCCCAAAAAATAAATAAATTGACTTTGTGTATCCTCTCTATGCTCAAATATTTCTTAAATACAGTTAGGACGAAAGGGATCATCATGTATGTATGTACACATGTGTCACAGCACACATGAAATTACGAAACAGACTTGAAAAGGAAAAACAAAACTTTGTTTTTGCGAGTCGCTTTGCGTTCAATGCTCAAGAGAGCCAACGCCACACTCTCTCAGCCGAAGGCTCTCGCACCAAGGCCCGAAGGCACTGGGAGCCAATCCTCTATACAGATTAGGCAGCCAGTTTTTACTCGATTTGCAGTCACTATGAGTTGTTTGCTTAGTGTGTGATAGTAGATAATAATTGTCTCTGGGTTGTATGCTTTTCATAAATATGCATATTGATAGACAGATACATTATAAGGTAGAGAGATATCCTTCTTTTATATGTATGTGTAAATATATGTATGCATGTTTCGTATAGATATTTGTATACACACTTAATCGAATAGAAACATTTATATATATGTTATATAATTTGTTTAAGTTTTTGTTCTGACTGTTAGTTGGAACAACGGGCCGAAACCGGCCTAGGTGTGTCGGGATTGTGAAGTCCCGACGACGGCCTCAACCTAGTTGGCACAAGTTCTCTTCGATTTCGAAGCTTCTTTTTTTCGCTCTAGGTATTTGCATGTGTGTGTACATAAAATTTATTAATTGTTTGTATTGTATAGGGGCTGGTGTTTTCAATTGTCATCGTAAGTTCACAAATTGTTGTTTATTAAGTATAATGCATTGAACAAGTCCTTTTCGTTCACCAATAATCTTTATATGTAGATGGTGTTTATGTCTCTAAATATTTTTTGATTATTTTGCATACGTTTCATATGCTTTGTTCGTCGCTTCCTCGTGCATTCTCTAAAATGTGCCACAATATGTTTTGTATATATGTATGTACCGGGTACCGGGATATAGGCAGAATGAAAGGGAAAATCGTTGTTCCTTCTCTTTTAGTTTTTTGTCGTGGATCGTGAGTCATTCGATGACCTCAAGTGGGTTTTGATTTCTTTACAATTTCCTAGGTACAATTTGCTTATTTCATTAATTTTATTGCATTTTGTTCGTGTTTGTCGTTTTCTAGATTTTTGGTTTTTGTTTCGTTTCGTTCTTATATACAACTCAAATTGGGTGTTCAAAATTAAAATCAATCAGTGTGTGGAGTGTGTGTGTGTGTGTGGTGCAGAGTGAGATATGTGTGCGGTGCAGGAACAAAAAGAATGAACAAAATGTAATCTGGCAGTGGCGTAAAAAAAGGAGATTCCAGAATGAAACATAATATACACAATGGAGTGCAGTGCAAAAAATAATACATAAATCCCTTTTGGGGGAGGAGATCTGCCAGGCCGATTTGCCAAAAACAATTTATATTTAGAGCAGCCAGCGAATCCAACTTGGTCCCCCCACCAAATGAAATAAATGTACAGAAATGAAACGTGCTTGTGCTGTGTGCTTCGAGATACAGTTTGGAGAGCGCATAGAGCTGTGCATATAAAGGGATATGGCGAGAAATAGAGAGAGAGAGCAGGTGCTGGGGGAGGCTGATCAGGGGTGGCTTATTGATAAACTCTATTGAGGCATTGGTATCAATCGGTTCAAATGTTTGCTAGCTTGTTAGCAATATGCACATTAAATGGGTGGATAGCTGTCGCTTGTGCTGGCGGTGACTGAGTCTTCCTCACCGTCACCCCGCACGCCTAACGCGAGTGTTCTAGAAAAAATAGGGACTGTATAAACTGCTAATACCATCAAAGTTCGTCTCGACGGGCAACAGTTTGAAGTCCAGGCGCAGAGCCTCCGCGTTGTCGTTGGTCACGCGCACCTCCTGCGGGGAACTGATCTGGTACCTGCAGGTTGAATGGAGGCAGAGGGAAACAGAATCAGTACTGAGGCTGGAAAGGAAACCGGTCGGAAGGGGGGCCAGTCACTCACCCAAAGGCAGCCGCATGCACGCTGTAGAGGCCGGGCGTGAGCAGACGCCAGTACTCGCCACGCTTCGAAGTCCGAATGGGCTTCTCGTCCAGGCCGGCCACAATGATGTTCGCATCGCCGATGGGATAGCCGTTGGCATCCTGCACCAGGCCCTTGATGCCGATATGGGCTTGCTTCAGCAGCTGCATTAGCGAGCCTTTGTTGCGCTGCCACTCTGCGGGCAGGGTGCTGGCTGCCGGATACTTGCAGCAGGAGAGCTCGATGGTCAGCTCGAAGCAGTTGCTGAAGGCATAGTTAAAGTCCTGCATGCCGCCGGAGAGCTCGTACCAGTTGGCGCCGTTAGTGATGCCGCCGGCAAAGGAGTCGTTGCAGTTGCTGCCCTTCCGCATGATCGGGTGGTTGTCCGAGTAAGCGTGCGCCAGCTGCTTGAACACACGATCATCCGGGGTCAAACTCTCCTCGCAGCACTCATTGTGGGCACTAAAAGAGGTGGCGGGAACGGTGTGAAGAATGGTCGAACCCATGATCAAAAGTCTAACCGAAACCTACATGGAGTTGTCGTACGGATAGCTGGCCACCACGGCTCCGCCATGGAAGTTAGCCGAGAGCACGAACGGCTTGCTGATGATCCAGTTGGCCAGAGCAGCCGTCTCCGGCTGACGAGACTGCGCATGCAGCTGGTGGACATGGGGCTCCTCCAAGCGGTCGGGGAAGTCGCGATTCAGATCGATGCCCGCCGCATTGCCACGCCCCACATAGTTGGGCAGCGATTCGCAGTTGCCTTCCTGTAAATGGAAGAGGAGGAGGGGTATGGATAAGTATGGATTTCTCTTTCATATCAGTTGTTTCCCACTCTCACTTTTTCTCTCTCTCTCTCTCTCTCTCTCTCAGTTGTGGGTTTTTATTTGTCATTCAGGTCAGTCCTGACCGAATTATTGCACTGCTTGGCATGTCGGTCAGGTGGGTCGGGGCTCTCTCTCCTCTCTCTGCTGATTACACCATTCACCCCACGCACCACTCGGAGAGTCATAATCAATATTCGATAACGATATTGCGCAATCGAACATGCAAGCAAATTATCAAAACAGAACAGAAAATACCTCCCTCCGCCCTCCACTCATCTGAATGCAAATATTGTAAACTGGAGCAGCTGTTGCACAATCTGAATGAACGCTCATGAACCGACCGAACTAAAAGCGATCATTGAGGACTGCTGGATGGATGGATGGATGGACGGATTGGAGTTGAATCTCCTCCATTGCCTAATCATCAAATTATATCATTTAATGGACGAATTAAATGGCGAATGTCATTAGCATGTTCAGCCAGAATGGAAACGACATACTTACTGTCTACTACCCCAGTCACGCCACCGATCACCGATCATCAGAAGTAAACACACACACACGCCCGTTCCACTATGCATTGTGCATGTGTACATATGTAAATTCAGAAAGTTTGAACTCCAATTAAGAATGAAATGGGTGGAATAGGGACGGTACAGGTGACAAGCAGTTGGCTGTCTTGCTCTCTCGCACCCAAATAAACATATGGAAGAAGTGGTAAAACAGTTATTTGCGTGGGAGAGGAAGATGTTTGTGCTCAATGAACTACACAGCCTTTTCTCCCTTTTCATATTTTTTTGAGTCAACATTCTCAATCAATTTTCAGTTTCCGTGCATCGGGAACCTTTGCTAAACGATAAAATGATCCAGCAGCAACAACAAAAAGCAAACGAATCTTCTACGCGGAAGATAATGGGACGAAATATTAACCATAATCTTTGCAAGTGTGTTTGCGTGGGTGTGTGCAATATGTCAACAGTTGTTGATGTTCAGGCGTGGCGTGGCAGTGGGTGAAAAGAGAGATATAGAGGGCTGTAAAGGTACTGTGCTTGGGCCTAGCGCAATCAGATAATAAGTGCGAAATTAACGCCAACGTAAGCAAGAGAGCGAGAGAGGACTTCTGCCGCCTCTCGTATCCCGACACTCCCGCAGATTCTCACCCAAACCACTCTCTGTCTCTTTGTATTCAATTTCACAATTATTGATTTTTCCCAGCGCCCGAAAGAGACGAAGACGACACACAGTGGAGTAGCAGATACATTTGTTTGTATGCAAACAGGTGACCCGCCAGCGCGTACTGTATACTGTATACAGTACTGTGTACTGGATAGCGAACGTACCTGGGACAGGGCATAGCCATCGGGATTCATGGTGGGCATCAAATATATGTCCGTGGAGTTCACCAGCTGGCCCACATCCGTGATGCGGTCGTAGTTGCCCAACAGGTACTGGGCCAGATAGACGAGCAGCTGCCGTCCCACCGTCTCGTCACCGTGCATATTGGCAATGTACTTGACGGGCGGTGTTAAAAGATTGCGCTGCCGCGTATTCTTCGAGATCTGCAGCACAATCAGGTTGCGGCCCTCCAGGGAACGGCCCAGATAGTGGACCCGAGCCTGCTCTGGATAGGCCTTCTCCAGGCCCGCAAACAAATCCTCCAGCTGCTCCTGGCTGGTGTAGTGGGGCTGCTGCAGGAAGCCCTCCTCCTCTTTGATGATGTAGCCCCGTCCACTGGGCACCAGCTGGGCGACCATGGCCAAAGCCAGGCCAGTCACAATCCACTGTGCCAGCATCTTCTTGCGACTCGCCTCCGCTTCTACGCCGGTCTTCCCGTCTTCGCAGCCGCTACGGGGGAGATGACCTCAATTGCTTGTTATCACGGGCGTGCAAATTGAATGCTGGATGTTCCAGATACAGTTCTTATTTGGTTTTCTTCTGCTTTTTTTGGGGGGGAGGGGGGGTATAGCCCTCCGACAGCACGTCCTCGTCTTGGTCGTCTGGGTGGGGGTCGTCGATGTCGATGTCGACGTCGTCGTCCGGTCCGTCGTCTGGTGGTCGGTGCAGCTCAGCTTCGAAAAATGAACTGCTTGAAAATTTGCTGCGTTGATTGGCCTTAAGCGTCCATGCTGCTGCTGTCGCTGTGCCTGTTACCTCTCCTCTGCCAGCGTCGACGCCAGCACTCCGCTGAGAGCGGCGCAAAGCAAAGCGCGCGTTAATTGCAGGGAAATTACACGCCACAGAGAGCTTGGGAGACAAATGTTTTTTTTTTTAGTTTTCCTTCTTCTGCCGTTATGTATGTACATATGAACATATGTACATATATGTATTTTAGACCGTTTCTCGAACCGCCGTTGTTATTTGAGTGTAAATTAATAGTTTGTCGTCGCTTTCGAATTCAATGATGATTATTATTGTTTCATTTAAGTGTTGAATAGCGTTGCCAGATGGCAACCGAGGCGCCGGCGCGTGTGAGCGCGCAGTCGCCGCTAAGCCACAGCAGAGTGAGAGAGATGGTGCGCGAAAGGGAGATAGTGGAGATAAGGAGGAGAGAGAGAGAGCAAGTCGGATTTGCGTTGTACGTCAGCGAAAAGGATATTTTTAGCAAGAAATCAATAACGCTCCCACATTCTTGACGTCACAGCCAGCCAGCCCGCCCATTGCCATTGTTCCTGGCGTGGGTTCAAGCGCCCACACACACAAAACACAATCCCCATACATTCATGCGTACATACTAATTTCCATATGCGTTTTTTCCTTATCGATAAACAAAATTCCCCAGGCCATTAGGGCTGTTGTTATCAGCAGAGCGCAATTCAAGGGAAATTTATACTCCCGTTGAGTGGATCGGACCTACGAAAGCGGAGGTGATAGCTGACAAAAAGCTTCTTTCTACATATGTATGTATATTCAAAGCTTCTCTCCCAATCACGCAGTAGTGCAACTTTGTTGGGACTTCTTACCGGCACAGACAGCTGTAACAAACACCGTTTCATTTTAATTCCATTCGGTATGGAATATGCTAAATTTAAAAGTTTTTCTATTGCTCTATTTTTGATATTTTTATAAAATATTAAATAACATTTACCCATTTATTCAATTAAAAATAAACGTACATAAGTATTTACAAAGAGTGTTTTCATTCCTTAACAGTGAGGCAACAAATTCTTGATTCTAATGGTTTATTTCAAATGATATTTCCACTTTTGGGAACATCAAGTAAACGTCAAAATACGCGTAAATTCGCGGGAATCCAGCGGTAAGTATAGTAACGAGAGCCACAACCACAGTCGAACCGGTTGCATTTACTCGTAAAGTGTCTCAGTTGCAGGAAATTGAAATGAACTAAACCAAAACAACACATCGCCCAGACAGCGTCAACGGTGGCATACTGCCATACAGCTGTTGTTGTTGTTGTGACATCTAACCAGTTTGCTGAAAGATAATTGCACGGGTGCCTTCCACCTCCCTTTCGGTCTGCTCCCAGAGTAACGGACGCTGTGTGTTGCAATTGCAGCACAATGACGTCAGCGACCGTCGATGGCCTTAAATCCATCCACCCGATTATCGGAGGGGGCTGGCCGTAAAACTGTCGCCCAACCCACACCCAGCACTTGGCATATTTGTTTAACAACACTCTAATCTAATCAGACACGAACATTGACTTGCCACCACTCGAGGTGTCCGCCCGGTATATGCACCCATGTACTTAACCTGTTGCTCTTTGGATTACCCAAAATTGGTTGAAAATCTGATAAAATATTGAAATATCCCTTAATACCCTGTTTACAAACAGTTGCTGTCAATGTATGGCGCAGTTTAAAGCTTACTCTGAGCACCAATAAAGCTCAGCAAAGAAGGGAGAGGACAGAAGTAGAAAGGCGCATAGGCGGAGATAGAGAGAGAGAGAAAGAGAGAGGTAATAACTGTTAACTATAATCCGCCTTCTCGTTGAGGCAAAAAGGTAACAGTATTCGTGAAGATGTACAACCGACAGAAAGCGTTTCCCACCCCATCCATCAATGGTCACTGTATAGTGCCATATTTATTTATATATTTTTGTGTTCACAGTCGACTTACAAGCCATGACAATATCGCAAGCTGTGTGTGCCATGCAATCGAAATGCCAGAGTTTTGGGTATTTTATAGTCGAAATGGGTATTCTGAAGTTTGATCTTTCCAAGCTTTTAAAGCTCTCATGTTGCGTCTCTCGATTTCCCAGAAAATGCAATGATTCTAGCAGCACAACATCAACACCACAGAGATGCAAAAATATATCGATATCGATGTATGCATGTACATTTGTATGTACATAGATAATCTTTTTAATTGCATATAATATGTACATATGTATTTATAATTGTTCGCTTCAGGGATTTACACCAGGGTTATTGAAAATAAAAGAGAGCCAACAGAGGCAGGGACGTTTTTAATATTTTGTTTGAATTCATTGGGAAGTACCCTAATGCGACTGTGTACATACTGTGGGAATAAACAGCGTATTGTGGCAGCAAAAACTATAAAATTGTCACCATGGTTGCTTGAGGCATCTATAAGGGGGTTTTCCGGATTTTTCTTTTGGCTAAAAATCTTATTTGTATTTATCAAGCACTTAACTTTGATTTTTTTACTTTTAATTTAAGGAATTCGAACAGAAACAAGTATGAACGCTTGTGAGACGCTTCATACGCGTCACAACTTTTAAACCCTGTACCTTAGTGTTTTTTCGAATTTTACAGCAGATTTCACACTTTCTGGGGGCGGGACGAAATTATGAAATAAACTTGTAACAGTGTGAGCATTCAGCCATCTGGATGCAAAATTTGGCTCAACAAGACGTACGGACAGACATGGCTATAGCGACTCGGCTATTGATGCTGATTGGAAACGTTTCCTTCAGTGCGTTACATATGTACATCCACTTTTCCCCTCCGTGTACCGGGTATGAAAAGACTAAACAAAATAATGATCACTTCAATATGAATACTCCAGCTTCAAAGTGAATCAGAAATACTTTCAGGAGGAACTCTTGTACGAGTATTATAACGAACAGACTGATTATTCCTCCTATACATACCGCACAACACTTGACGCGACTGAAGAGCTCTAAAATACCAATTGAAGATCACTCGTGAAGGAACAGCCCAAACACTTGGCTTAGACATTCGCAGGGACATCGAGTTTAGTACCAGAGAGTAAATGATGTACCAGATAATATCAGATGAAACTCCCAGATGCTAATTGCCGGATCACAGCTGACTTCAACCAGAACGAGAAGGGACGTGTGAGACGCTTCTTACGCGTCAAAACTTTTATACCCGGCACTCAGTACTACATCTGCACCTTAGCGGTGTTTTGTCAAATTTTAAATTTTTACTTCATCTGTCATCTACAACACTTCTCACACCAACAAGCTCCGTTAGCTCGCCGCCCTTCCCTAGACCCACACACTGCAGACTCGCGGCAGAGTCAAAGGCAGCGCCCGCACACAAAAAAAAAACAAATATAAGCTGCGGGACGGGGTGGGTTAAAAGTCGGAAGAGTCATCGGCAGGGGGAGGGCAGAGGCAGGGGCCGAGTGAAGCAGAGTGTGAATGAGAGAATGTAAAAAGAACAACAAAGGCTGCGGGACAGGGTGGGTTTAGCCACTGCAAATTAATTTCTTCATTCTGGCTATAATAATGATCCAATCGGATCCCAATTTGGTGATCTGATAGATATGGCCATTTCCTACGGAATGACGTTTTTAGTTTTCTTTTATCTTCAAAATACACTGGTTTCAGTTTGAGCAGTCCGGAGCCAAAATGTTGTGGCTCTAGCTCTTATAGTCTCTGAGAACTAGCCGACAAACAAGACGGACGGACAGACAGACGGCCAGACGGACAGACAGACATGGCTCTATCGACTTGGCTATTGATGCTGATCAAGAATATATATACTTTATGGAGTCGGAAACGTTTCCTTCTGTGCGTTACATACAACCGTTATTCCCCACAAATACAATATACCCTATTTACTCTTCGAGTACCGGGTATAAAAAGTGGGTCACCTATGGTACAACTATAGTTCAGTGTGGGGAAGGGAAGGGAATTCCAAATGGATGGATACACTCTCTGGCTTTTCACCACAGACAGATTCCAAACGCAGCGGGGCAGAGCAACAAAACACCAAGGAAATAAGAGACAGTGAGATGAGAGAGAGGGAGGGGTAGGAGTGGATTGTAGTGTAGATTCATGGATTGACCTGGCGGTGAAGTGGAGTGGGCAAGTCGGAGCAAACAATTTATCCGATTTACATTCACTTTTCGCTATTGTTACATTAATATTAATGCGCCACAGCTGTTTTGACCCCCTGTTTATTGGCTCTGAAAGTGGTTTTGTGGCAGAATCCACTTTCTTCCAGAAGTATAGATAGATGGGGCTCGGGACGGGGTGCTCGTAGCGGATGACTCACCTGAGCGAGGGCAAAACCATCCGGATTGCAGCTGGGCAGAAAATGAATTTCTGTAGTGTTGAGCAGCCGCTGGACCTGGTTGTCCGTCTCATAGCTGCTGGCCAGGTACTCGGCCGTGTACAGGACAATCTGGCGGCCCAGCGCCTCGTCGCCACGAATGTTGGCCACCAGCTTGACCATGGGGCGCAGCAGATCCCCACTCTTGTCGTCCGCCGGTGGGGCATTCAGCGCTAGGGCATGCATCGGCCTGCCCTGCCCGGAACGACCGACTGTGTAGGTCTGTGCCAGCTGGGGATAGTCCTTGGCCAGCTGGCCGAACAGAGCGCCAATCTCATCATTGTTCAGATAGTGTGGATGCGCCAGAAAGCTCTCCTTCTCTTCGATCACCTGAACCGCAGCACTCTCGCTGTACTCTGCGGAGACGGGAGCCGGCGAGCCAGCTATAAGTGCCAGGCACGCAATAACAAAAACGCCAACGCGCATTTTATCTGCTACCTCGAAAGCAGATCGATCCGAACCAGACCGACGCGCCGATGCGGACACGTAAGCAACAACAACAAACGGGGGCGCAGGCGCGATGGAGAGTCGCTGAACGAGGTGCTGCTGCACTTGTGGCTAGCTTTCTGCTGGCAGCTTTCTTTGATATTCAAATGATTGCCAATATTTCACTCTAATACGGAAACTAACTGGCACACAATTCAGAACAAGAACAGAGACACGGAACAACTTGTTCTGCAGGTGATTTTGCCCTGTTGGCGTTAGTCACGCTGTCACTGCACAAAAACTTCGAAATCACGCTACACAA